AAAAAACATTGCTAAAAAAATAAAGATGAAATGAGACCCACTGTTTTTTTTTCTTTTGGTTCAACGGGCTATTATAAATACTAACATTGCAGCTAAACTCATAGCAGATTTTTAATCTACCAAAAATATAGAACCTTTAATTAGGACGATACAGAGCGACATGATGTTAAAAATACATAAGAAGATGGAATGAGACCCGTCGATTTTTATTGTAACGGGTTGTCGAAAATAATAAACTATTAATTTACCGATAATTATCATTTCTGGACAAATAGTTCTTACTAAATCTTTTTTTTTCTTTTGGGATCAACGGGGTGCCAAAAATGCAATAATAACAGACAAAATAATTAAAATTTTTTAACCTACAAAAAGTTCGTAATCTTTTAAGTGAGAACACAGAGTGACCTATTGTTAAAGAGAAAAATAAAGATGGAATGAGACCTACTAGTTCTTTTTTTTTTTTTTTTGGTTCAACGGGCTGATATAATTACTAAAATAGTAGCTAAAATCATTGCAGATTTTTAGCCTACAAAAAACATAGAACCTTTAAGTACGACGATACAGAGTGACATGATATTAAAAATATAAAAGAACATGGAATGAGCCACCGATTTTTTATTGCAACGAGTTGTCGAAAATATTAAACTATTAATTTATCAATAAGTATCATCTTTGAACCAATTCTTGCTTATTCTTCTTTTTTTTTCTTCTTTCTTTTGGGCTCAACAGGGTGCCAAAATACTATAATAGTATTCAAAACAATTATAAATTTAAACCTACAAAAAATTCAAAATTTTTTTTAAGTGAGAACGCCGAGTGACATGTTAAGGAGACCGACCGATTCTTTTTCTTTTTTTGGTTCAACAGGTTGTTATAAATACTAAAATTGCATCTAAAATCATTGCAGATTTTTAATCTACAAAAAAAATAGTAGTCAGACGATACAGAGTGATATGATATTAAAAATATAAAAGAAGATGGAATGAGAGCCAACGATTGTTTGTTGCAACAGGTTGTCGAAAATATTAAACTATTAGTTTATCGATAAGTATAATCTTTGAACAAATAATTCTTGTTAATTCTTCTATTTCCTTTTTCTTTTGGGTTCAAAGGGGTGCCAAAAATATTAAAATAGCAGCCAAAATCGTTCCAAGTATTTAACCTACCTAACACTAAGAACCTTTTGAGCAAGACGATGCAAAGTGATATGTTGTTAAATATTAAAATGTAGATTGAATGAGATCTTTTTTTTTTTTTTTGGTTTTTGTCTAACGGATTGTCAGAAATATTTAAATAGCAATGTTCTATTTTTCTATCCAATTTTAATAATTATTATTTAAATTATTTTTTATTACATGTTTTTATGTCTTATGAATTAAATTAGATTAAATTTTCTAATGTACTTTTTTCCCACGTGTTGTCATTGGCAACACGTCTATCAACGAAAATCATTACAGTTTTTTAACTTATTAAAGACTTAAAAACCTTTTAAACATGAATATGCAAAGTAACATGGTGTTAAAACTGAAAATGAAGATGAATTAAGAGCTGTGTTTTCTTCTTTTTTTTTTCTTCTTTTCTTTTTTGGTGTAACGGTATGTCAAAAATACTAAAATAGCAAATAAAACCATTACAATTTTTTAACCTACCATAGACTCGAAACCTTTTAAGTGAGATAACACGGAGTGAATTGTTGCTAAAGATAAAAATGAAGATTAAATGAGACCCGCCGGTTCTTTTTTTTTTTTTTTTTTGTTCAACGGGTTGTTATAAATTCCATAGCAGCTAAAACCATTGCAGATTTTTAACTTACAAAAAACATGGAACATTTAAACATGACGATACATAGTGACATGATGTTAAAAATATAAATGAAGATGGAATGAGACTCGTTGATTTTTTTTTCCAACGTGTTGTCAAAAATACTAAAATATTAACTTATCGATAAGTATCATCTTTGAACAAATAATCTTTGATTAAATAGAAAAATTTTATTTTTAGTTTCATTTTCAATGATTATTAATCAAATTGTTTTTTTTATTACGCATTTTTATGTCTTATGAATTAAATTGGATTGAATTTTCTAATGCATTTTTCCCAATGTGTTGTTATTTGTAACACGTCCATCAACGGAAACCATTGCATATGTATTATTTTATTAGTAAATAAACAATACATTTATTGTATGTTGTAACCTACTATCTGTTATACACTTTCGTTTTTATTCTTGTATGTTGTAATTATATACTCATATTTTACGTCAAAAAACATAGGACAATTTATTACAAATTTGCCCACCGTGCAACGCACGGGTAAAACACTAGTAATGATAAAGAACATATATCTTCATACCTAGTTACATTGTTCTATTAAGGTCAATCCAAGGATCTAATTCTTTCCGTTAAATGTTCATAACAAAAAATAAAAAAAAATTAATAATGAATTTTTTCCTCTCACTTGGTTAAGGTCATAGTGACATTTCTGGTAATGTCAATTCATGTTATGGGATTGCAATTTTGTTACGCTGTTACATGTACTAATTCACGTGCTCTTTTGTAACTTTGATCGCAATTTTAACAACTGTGGTATATGGATCAGGCTACCAGGGCATAAATTCACACAATTTTCCAAACATATACTTACATTTTATTATTCAAAAAATCTAAAAATAATTGTCCAGTTTATTTCTGATGTAACCTTTGATAAATTGTTTTGTTTGATGTATCTCACGTGCGGGTCAGAAGGTACCCATCGAGGTAGGCGCGGACACAGAGCGTCGAGTCGTCTGAAGCTTGGAAGACGAACACAGAGCAGAGCATAATAATGTGCAAAAGTTGTAAACGTAAGAAATTATTAGAAAAGTTGAATAAAATTAGACATTGAAATAGTAGTATTTTTTTTCCCCCTCCCAGGATCCATTAAAAACTCGACACGTAGGAAGGAGCACGGCAGCCATTCATATGACTGTGGGGGATCTGTCAAATATTTTGACAGAGAGTACACGTGTGAGTTAATGACCTTAATATTGTCTTCCTCCAGAAACCCACAGGCCCCTACGTATTACTGGATCTCGGACTCCCTTCCATTTCTGCTACACTCTCTTTTTTTTTTTTTTTTTTCCCCCTTTCATTTCTTTGTTTTGATTTTTTTGTGTTAACAATTGAAGCTGTGATAAATAGTAAATACTAGTACTAGATCTCCAAACATTGGTGATTTGGGCGGATGAATCTATCGGAATATTTTTTTTTTGGGTGTTGTATTAGCCCCCGTTCAGCTAGCTACTTCTTACTTAAATAGTTGTAATTGATGTGGAATCAAGATGGGAGTTTATAAAGAGTTGCATTGCATGCTTGTGATCATTTTTTTCTAAATTAATATCGTAGCCTATGCCCAGTTATGTGTTACACTGTTAGTGTCATGAGATAATTAATTGTATTTTTGCAACTAGTGAAAATCAAATTCGATATTATCTATCGAGATTCTTGAATGCCTTGTCTTCAAATTATGTTCATTGCTAACTTAGGCATCAAATTTACTCATCCGTAAATTTTATAAAGTATCGAACAGTTATTAATAGAAAAAAAAATGTTCCAGAGCTCCACCTATCTAAATATTAATGAATTAACTTATATAATATACTTTTCAGCGATTGGACATATAACAAGGTCACCATTTTTATGATTAGGATTTACACGTTCATGGTACACATTATCTAATATTCCAGTGGTAATATAAAAAGTTTGACCTAACTTTTGGAACGGGGCAATTTGTCCAATCATCTGGTTTGTGTAGTACATACATATAATCTTAAGGAGATTTCCTACCAGAAATAATACTCATTGGGTTTGAGCTTTGTAGCTTGCTCATGGTATGGAAAATTTACTGATTTTCAATAATAATGATAATAGCACTACTACTTTTTTAGTTTTAAAATAGTAGGTATTAAGCATGCCCATTTTGCTTCATAGCTAGTCAGCGCTCTCAAAAATTAATTTTCGAGACAATTTCGATAGAAGTTGTAGAAAGAAACCAGACTCTTTGATAGAGATAGAGAGACTCTAAAGATTCGATACCAAATCAAAATCATAGTTTCCTTTACTACTTGAAGAACACTAGACTCTTATGATAGGGGAATTCTTTGTTTTATGATAGAATCTCTTGTGATATAATTAACATGTTTGTAGAAGAAGATGCAAGTAGAGATCATACTTGTACTCCTCTACCGCTTAATGTGCTGATCGTAGGGATGGAGGATTAATCCTCTCGTTATCGGTGGAAGAGATACTTTGGAAGGAAACAAAAAAAAAAAAAAGTCATACTTGTACTAAGGTAGACTCGGCCGATCCGAGTGCGTTGATAACAAAAGTGGGGATTTATACTAAACCATTGAGATTGTGCATGTGTCAACAGATCCAACCAGGTTGAAGGAATATTATTATAGGGTTTATCTTTTGGCTTAGTATTTAATTAAATTATTATTACAAGCAGTCCGTGTGCTGATCATAAACAATTCCATAATTTCGTTGAATATTTTAGCGTTGAATAGTTAAGTGATTGGAATGAATGATAATATGGTTTCTTTGGAATGAGAAGTACGACGCCCAAAGCAAACAGCATTTTTCTACACCGTAACGAGGGCCAAAGGTAAAATATAGTAACTATTAGTTGTCATACTATGAATCTCGAATTAATTGTTATACTTGTAGCTGATTAAGCTTCGTCAGCTGGTCTAGGTGATATTACTATAATCAGAACCCATCGACAAAGAGTTTTCATTTAAATAATGCAATAATTTTACGTATAATTACGTACAGCCACAGCACATGCATGAACACCTAAATGTTAAAGTTTGTATATCTCCAAAATTCCCAAATGGCCATCACACAAAAATACGTCAAAGTAAAACTAGGAAATTAAAGGGGGAAAAAAAGAAAAAGACTTCAATAGATTAATCAATAAAAGAGAAGACTAAGAAGAAAGAAAAAGACTTTCGTATGTGCAGATATTAGCCAATAAAGAGAGATCATTTCCCACCGCTGGGGACCCTATTGCAAATTTTCCAAGCTAAATTAAAAAGAATACAACGAGGCTTTAAGAATCAAAAATGTAAATATCTCTCGTGAATGTGATGTGTGTCTGCTTCATCAGAGTGCAGATCTTCATGACATATACATTATACATGTACGTTCCAACATATTTCCGCAAAGCCCACATCATTTTTATTTTTTTAGTACTCTTCCACATTCCCCCCCTTTTTTTTGATAAAAAAAAAATTATTTGTATTTTTTGGGGGGATTCAATTAATTAAATGATTGAGGGTCAAAAATTCAAAAAATTCAACATTCTAGCTGCCCCTAATAAATAAGGACTTGTACAGCTACAAATTGGCTCAAACTCCAATATAAATAGATAGTATAGCCTGCAGAGAGAGCTTTGCAATTGAACTGCATTATAGAGTATCCCTCTCTGCCGTCTGCACATTTTAACGTCCGAAGCAGAGAAGCAAGGCAAAACATGGGCAGCAGCAATATCACTGCAAACCATGAGTTACACTTTGTTTTTATGAACTATGATCCTGAATACGAGCGCCTCCGATCCAACAAGTAACTATGTTCCTACCTTACCCAGCTTCCATTTCTGTCCTTTTTAGTTAGAAAAACATTATATATATAGATCGATGTTGGTTTTTTTCTTGTTATTGTTACTCGGCAAAAGTGTGGAATATATAATGTCTATATATGTTTTTATTCTTGAAAAATGTGGATAGAACAAAGAAGGGAGCAAAAGAGCTGCATTTGTACTTGAGCAAGAAGCATGATGAGTTGTTGGCCAATACTTTTGAGGCAGGGAGCTACCAGAAGACGCTGTCCTTAGTTATTGTCGACGGGTTCGCCGCGGAAATCACCGACGATCAAGCAAACGTGCTCAGATCTGCCAAACAAGTCAGGCTTGTCGAGAAAAACCAAGAGCTTTCTTAGTAAATATATGTGTATCTCTAGCGCTGTTATGTGTGTATGGACTGTGGAGTAGTTCATAAAAACAAAAACTTGGCCTGAACCTTGAACCATATTTTCATATTAATGTTTGTGCTAGCTATTAGTACAATGTTTTGCAGGTCCAAGAAAAATATGAGGAACTATTTTAATGTAATATATGATATTGGAAGAAGCAAGATCATTGATGATTAATGGAGTAAGGAAAAGGTATCCTTCCATCACGGTTGAGGCCTTTCTGCTTCTTGATTTGGAGCAAGTTAAATATGTTAAGTTTCTTGGCTTCAGTATAATGTCAAATTATGATTCAAGTTTTGGCCTTCTCTCTCTCTCTCGCAACTGGAATTTACAGTTCTGTATGTACCTAATTCTTCTTCTTTTTGTTCTCAGTAAGTTGGTATAGAGTCGTACGTACGTAGATTTCCGTTCGATCTAACAGTTGCTTTTCTTAATCTTGTCGCTGTTTCTTGGAAGTTTACTCCGCGCTTCTTTTTCTTTGGTGTTTCTGTGCTCATTAATTGGTCAGGGAAGTCCAGGTGTAACCTGGCCTTCGCCGCGCCGTACGTTCACATTTTCTATTCACCTTTAATCTGTAACCCTTATTCAATTAATATGGACAAGCAGGAAAAATAGTGACTGATTTTGCCTAAGATTAACCAAGCATGTTATAAAGAAAGAAGGGACTTTAAGTCCATCTTTCCAATCATGCACCAAAGGAGGAAGCATAAATTTAGGTACAAGATGATTCCTCTACGTCCTTCACATATACACCAACTTCTTCTTACATTTTGCGTGTAATTACTTATAGCAATAATGCGTAGTTAATAAACGTATCACTTGCAATTGTTTAAAGGAGGTTGATGATCATCATCATGAATTAATACTAAGACTACATGTACAAATATGTGCATACTGAATTAACCCGATTATCGGTGATGTTTAATATTAATGCTAACTGCTAGCTAGAACATGCAAGAAAGGTAGCCTTCTTGACAGAAAACACAGTGGTAGCTGACGGATACATACATCCAATAGTTCAGAGTGTTGACAGAGAAATATGATATAACGTTAGACAAGTACGTACGTGGTCCTCCTCTTCATTGATTAGAATCCTGGTACACTCTCTCAACTCCAGCACCCAATTAATGCCAATTCCTTCTTTCCTTCTTCTCTTCACACACACACACACACACACACACAAACAATAAGGTTGGAAATGCGAAGTAGAAAAATCAAGGGCAGAGGCAGATTCCCTTGTAAAAAGTTGGGTGTGAAACATTTCATAGGGCTTGTCCCTCCCCTAAATTAACTTCTTTCTCCTAATACTATTTTCCTCTACTGTGGTATAAAATAAAATAAAATTAAAGGGTGACAGGAAAGGAAGAAGAGGACGACAGAGTTTCTACTTCTTGCTATCCAAATTACTTCCATTTTTCAACGATGGGAAAAGAAGAACCTGACATGGATCATTCAAATGCTGGTGGGGTTGAAAAAGCTACTATAGTACGTACTATCACATGCACCTTTCCACACCAAACTCTTGTTTTGCCAAGAAAATTCAATTTAGTGGTACCACCACCCCATCCCCCACTTATCACTTCTCAACTCTTCTATAGTCAATATTTACATTAATTTGATTTTGATCAATGAAAATCTTTCTTTTATTTCTCCTTTCCATTTTATAGATTTTGTTGTTCTTATTACATGTAAATATTGTCGTACAGGATTATCAGATAATCATTAATGAAATATATAGTGACTAATGTGATACGTGCACGTTTACTTAACCATCTTATATTATGTTGGCAGTTATGAACTTAATAGGGTCCTGATCTTGTCTTTTTACAATTTACTGTCGCGTTTCATTATATATAATCAATGTCCCTATCATTCTCTCTTCACTAGTAAGTAGCAATAGGTTAATTTTAGGAATGTAATTAATGTTGCGAATGATCATAGACCAAAACCATGGACACTGGATACCAAATTCCAACTTATAATAATAATCAAGTAATAGACGTGGTTAATTATAGTGTTCCAAACCGAAGTAGCAAGTAGCTAGCCAGCAACAATGTTTGAATTAGCGGAGTGAGCGTCGACGACTCGACGCTGTAATTTCATTTCGTATTTACTGAATTCGAATTCCCAATGTTTGTTGAGATAGAAACACAAATCACTATCATTTAATCAATCATACATTTGTCTGAAACCTGACCTATGCAAATGGTGCCACCAACACTGATATTGTTGAAATGGCATGGAGCAAAATAAGGCACCAAATGTTCTGGCGTATCGAGATCTCTTTCAATCGTGACAGATGAAAACTTCGAGATTAAATGCATATCTAAACCATTATTAAAATATTTATTTAGAGAGTTTTTGTTTGATATCTTTCCAGTCTAATTCGAATTTGTTGGCTGTAGCGGTAGTAGTTTCATATATCAGGCATGTAAGTATAACAAAAAAAAGCAAAAGATAAGGGCTCCATGTGAAAGATCGACTTACTAAATCGGGCATGCATGAATCTATATGTTGTATCATATATTAATGGATACCATTTCCCACCCTCCCCAATGGACTTCTGACCTCAAGTGATCAAATCTTGAAGATCGATTAATTTAAACGGGATCAGAAGCCATTGAGGGAGAGGGAGTAATGAAAGCCATTAACTCTCTGCTGATGCATGGCAACAACTTGCATGATTGATGTTGATATAAATTTGTATATATGTATGCATTTTTAGGGCAGTTGACCCCTACTTAAAAAATGAGGTCTTTTCTTGGCCCATATGTTGTTGTGAAACCTTGGAAAAAAAAAGAGAGAGAGAGAAGATATTGGACAACCAATGGTTTCATGAAATGAAGATTCTTTGGTGTTTAAGAGTTACTCTAGCTTGGATTTGATTCAGGGATTGGATAACAAGTCCTATTTATAAACCTCAAGAAACAAAAAAAATGAATCGAAGAAGCGATCAAAAGTGGCAAAAATATGGTAGGGTATCCATATCTTGCCCCTTCTTATCTTTATTAGCTAGCATATCAAATCCTATTGCTAAGTCAGCTGGAGAGAAAAGCTAAAGGTGCTAAATTATTAGCCTATGATCCTGCCTTTTTTGAACTTTTAATCCAATGGAGTAATCAATTCGTTGCCCTTTGGAAAATCTAATAGCTTCTTTTTATTTATTCTAATTAATTTTGGTAGAGCATGAATGAATACCGTCTCATATTTGTTACTCCCTCCGTCCAAAAAAAATAGTTCACATTGATTTTTGACATTTGTACTATTTTTAGTACAAATATACAAATTCAATGTTGACTATTTTTTTTTTGGAACGGAGGGAGTAATAAAATGAACTCTCAAAATAAAATAAAGGGATTCTTTAAAATAGAACGAAGAAAATAAAACTCATGAGTTCAAGGCTAAATATTCTCTTGAAGAGTTTGCCATTTATTCCCGTTGCAAATACACATGTCAAATTTTCTTGTCTGTTTTGATAAATAATGGACTTCCCTTTTCCTCATTTTAAAATTAGGAACTATAAATGTCCATGATTTGGATATGGAAGAATTTAATAATGAAAAAGTTTTACATGAAAAACAATTTTGTAACAAAAGAGAATTTTGACTTTTTTTTGCTGATCATGGAATAAGATCATATTGTTACACATGCATTGACATGCAAGGACTTCAAGGTTGCAAATTGCAACCCACCACATATGCTAAACGTTACGAAGAAGTTAGCCCCTAATAGCCACGTCCCGATGATTAAACTATTATAATAATCGCTAATAGGACGAATAGAATAAATCCATTAGAATCTAAAACCTTATCCTTAGCTACACCTGCATCAAATATTATGGTTTTGTTAGGTAAAATTGTACGAATTAATTGACATTTTATCAACTTCCAAATCTAATATGGTTTTATGAATTTGAAAAGAGAACTTTACAGCGAGACATCATAATCATATCATCTATTCCTTCCATGAAAAGTCGTATATGTTAAATTTATTCATATAAAGGAGAAACTTTTTTAGGACGAAAAAATTAGACCTGTCTGTTTTTTTGGGATGAAGAACATAATATTGTACTATATAACATGCTCATAAATCTATGATTACATCTCACCAAGGTTTTATATCAGGAAATGAAGGATTTAGAATACTTACACAATGTCGATGTATGGTGATTTATTGATGAATATTGGTTTACTGTTCAATAACTGAGATCTAGTAAAAACATTTACAGGTTTAATGAAATTTTGGAGGTCCAAAGATCATCCTAAGAGTGAATGACTCAGAGTTAAATATCAATGTGCAGAGTGATGACCTTGTTATGGGAATTTAGTACGGGCTGCATTGACTGCTAATTAGTGGATAAAGGATCTTACAATGCCTAGTGCGCTGATCGTAGAAACGGATGATTAGTCCTTCTGCCGATAACGGGAGGATACTTTGAGAAACTAAAAAAAAGAAAAAAAGAAGAAGCTTTTGGTAAACCTGGCGACATGCGGTTTGCGATTGTTAAAATTATCTGATGGTTAAACTTTGATCAGAACACAACGTATTCGATATTTCTTATTCACTAAATTTATAATTTTGGCTTGACCTTCTTTGTAGCCCCCATAAAAAGAGAAAAATAGTATTCATTTTTATAAGTTGATCTCCACTTTTCCAATGAGTGATGAGAGTTAAATTTTAATGTTCATTTGACATGGACGACGTCTAGTAAACCCAACTCATTGGCCATCAGAGGGTTGTAAATCACTCTTTGGACAAAAGAGGTCTAGAGGGTTCAAAATTCCAAAGCTTGTTCATAGATATTGTTTCTTACTTTTCTATCACAACTTAGTTTGTTAATTATAAAAATAACCTACATTTTCCAATATAAATATAATCATCCGTTATCATCAATGATCCATAAGTTTAACAATGAAATCTACCAAAATAAATTGACGCGAAATGTCTGTGTATAAAGAAGTATATACGTACATCTATGCGTCAACTTTTTGTCTATCACGAGATTAAGGTTATATTTGATAACACTACTTACTACTTAAAGTTATTTTATTAAAAACATGTTTGATACCAAAAACAGAACCTCTTAATTAATTAAGCGGGGCTGAAACTACAGTACAAAATATAAGTCAAAAGCTAGTCTTTTTCTTATTCCTTAACTGGTCAATGAATTCAATATCTTTATTTAAATATTAAACGTTCAGAATTAAACACTAATTTTTATCAAACGGTCTAAATTATTACTCACTCCATCCCATAATTATTGTTCTATTTGAGTTTTCATTTTTAATTCAAATTGTACTAAAAGTTAAAACCTAAACTGAACAATAATTATAGGACGAAGGGAATATATTTTTTCTTTCTTTTTTGTTTTTCCCTCATATATATATATATATATATATATATATTCTGATGAGGAAAGCTTTGAGTTTGGGCTCAAGGCCTACTGAATGGGTCGGCTGTCAAAAGATAGCTTGTCTAGAACTAAATTTGGGGCTGATGACAAAATGTACATCCCCCTGCACTCTGATCTTAAGCTCATGTACTTTAACCCAAAAGTGCAAGGCAGACTTATACATTTGAATAATTGGCCCAACCAAAGAACGAAAACTGGGCTTCATTTTGGCGCGAAAATCAAAGGCGCCCGCCTGTAACTTCTACCGATTACCGAGAAGCACCTGCATTCAATCCAATTTCACACGAATCCTTTTTTGGCACTCTGGAAGATGGTGGAAGCTAGACGGTCTTCGAAACGGCGCCGTACAAGCGGGGAGACCCAGAAATTCCACGAGGAACGCAAAGAAGAAGAGGAAGAACAACAGCAATCTGCAAAAGATGATACCAGGAAACCGCTCACCGCCGGCTTATCCGACAACGTTGGAAGAAACAAGTCACCTGTAATCGTCTTCGCTCATGGCGCCGGAGCTCCATCTTCTTCCGATTGGATGATCAGGTATCACTCGCTTCGTTTTCCGCTGTATGTTGATGTGTAAAACCACAAGTGTCATTCGCAGAAACTGATTGAATAGTACCATTAGTCGTTATTGTTGATTTGTTATTCGATTGTGTTTTCGTTTGGGTTCTAATTGAATTGCATTTGAAATTTGGATATCTTTGGCAGCTGGAAAAAGATGCTTCACGAGTCATTGAACGCTGTTGAAGTTGTAACCTTTGATTATCCATGTGAGCTGATTTTTTATTTATTTATTTTTTTTTGTCTCAATTTTAATTGGAAAAACAAGCCCCTTGGAAGCTTGGACTTTTTTTTTTAAAAAAAAATTCTTTTAAACGCTGGAAAGGATTTAATATGTTCATGAATTGCAAATGGGATGTGTTTTTAATTTTTTTTTTGGAAAATTTTGTTGAGGTTAGCAGACTTTGCTGGTGGGAAGAAAAAGGCTCCTCCAAAGGCAGAAAAATTGGTCGATTTTCACGCTGACATTGTTAAGAAGACAATGGAGAAATACCCCGACCATCCCTTGATCTTGGCTGGGAAATCCATGGGTTCTAGGTAATAGTCATTCACTCATTATGATAGATACTCAGTGTACCACACTTTAAGGTTATAGTTTAAATATCGTAAGCGAGTGCAAGTTGGTCTTTTTATGGTTTTCTGCCTTCTGACATTCATGTTGATAAAACAAACGGCCTCTTGGTAATCACGTGGTTATGACCTGGAAGGATTTTATTTATATTAACTAATTAAGATTATGTGATTCTTTGGGCTAATATATGTCTGTTCAACCAGAGACTCTGTTGCCACTTCAGTTATCAAATCAGAGAAATTTTCATAATTGTCTGGGCGTTCCTGGCAATCACTGCATCTGATATATTCTATGTAACTTCTGCTCTTCATGGTGCAAAAGCTGAGCTTTAGTTCCCGATTTAGTCAGTTATTAAGTTTTTTCCTGGCATGAACAATATTCTGGTAGCTAATATAAGATTTCTCTGTGTTTGGTGTGAATAGGATCAGCTGCATGGTTGCTGCTGCTAGTGATATTGATGTCTTCGCAATAGTTTGTTTGGGATACCCGCTAAAGGTTGGACTTTATTAGCATGTTTCTCGTATTTTTGATAGTTTTGTCATGATAGTTTCCTGGTTTCCCCCCCATAAAGCATGTCTGATTTTCTAGATACTTTCTACATTTAGTAAATCAGGAATTGCTCGAATCCTTGTCCTTGCTCTATAAGTCCTTATTTAATCTAAACATTGATTATCTAACAATGGCGTAGTAGTATTGATGATCATATGATCTCTAGGGAAAATCCTTTCATTGGTACTGTCTGTATTCCGTTGTCCATGTGTAGAACCATCTGATCCATAAGAGAAGTGGCCAAAACATAAACCAACATTTCCTTGTACGATCTCTCCGTATCTTCATCGATCCTTTTTATTTTCTATCCAATATCACATGATTATTATTTGTATGTAAGCTGGGTTCAATCATTTAAGTTAGAGGATGTGCTTTGAATCCGCTTTACACTGTGCTGCATTCCTGGATTTCATTTTGAAGATTGTGCATAACCACTTCTTTTTAATTTTGCATCAATGATATTTTCTTATTCTACTCGAATTTCAATCTAATTCAGGGGATGAATGGTGCACTGCGAGATGAAACACTGTTGCTATTGAGAGTTCCTGTCATGTTTGTACAGGTAAGAGAAGAGCAAGTTCACAGTTGTGAAAAGTGAAAATTCTTATGATTACAAAAACAACTGATGAATTCGCAGTGCGCAACTGATAAATCTGTCTATTTATGCTCAACACTGATGTTTTTATCTTTGTTATTCCCTCTAACAACAGATATTAAAATATAGTTGCTGTATGTATTAGGTGGACAATTTTAGTTCTGTAAGAACTGCAACTGTTCACCTTATGTCAGGATTTATGTAACACGACCATTTTATGTATAGGGTAACAAAGATGGGCTTTGTCCACTGGATAAGTTGAATGCTGTGAGAAAGAAGATGAATGCAGTAAGTGAATTGCATGTTGTTGAAGGTGGTGATCATTCATTCAAGGTTGCGAAGAAGCATCTTCAACAGTCTGGAACTACCCAGGACGAAGCTGAACATTGTGCTGTCCAGGCTATTGCAACTTTTGTTGATAGTCTTTCAGAAGCCAAGTGACAGTTTAACCCCTCAAATGTTTTGACATCAGGGTATATGTTTTTTAGGTTATTGTCAGGCCGCTTCGGAACAAAATTAGCAGGAGTGCTGCTAATGTTTTGTATGACCTTTTCTTTATTAGTGGGAGACTCTAGGTTTAATTGTAAGGATGTAAATACTAGTCATGATCCTTGACTGAACTCTTGAAGTTAAACTGCAATGTCTTTTGTTGTGCTTCCTCTGTACATTTCCAGATTTTCTCATCTTGGTAGTTAACGCCTTCGTGTTTTTATTTACTTTTGAGTAAGAAAGCAATTAAATCGTTTTACTTTGGAAGCTGTTCTTATGGAACCCTCTAGTATATCCTCCTGAAAGATGTTGATTTGCAAGTTAACGGTGCACGCAAATTATAGGTCTTCAATGCAGGGAAGGCTGGTTCGAGCTGGACCATATTTGTAGCGATACTTCAAAAGAGCATTCGGGAAAGTTTTGTCCACTAGAAAGAAAGATGGAAGTGGCAGAGGGATGGAATATGTTATTGGGAGTCAATTCATCAAAGATGGAGAATAAGTTCTCTTTGATAATTTACATTAAATGTAAAGGAGATTCCAGTGGTAACATAAAGGAGATTCCGGACAACAATATAAAAGCCATCTGATCACTGCCTGAATGTCTCAAGAAGCACAAATTAAGTAGTGTCTGGAACTGTAATATCCAGAAACTGAAAACTTCTCAATGGCTTCCATGCAATGCCACAAGCCAGTAGAGCAATCCCACAGTTACACTGAGTCGGTTGTTATCACTGAGAGGAGAACCACTCAAGCTCATGTCAAGACCAACAACGAACACTCTTTCACTAACAAAGTGAAAGAGTGGTTCGCGGATCATCATCTTGGCCAGACCAACAACCACCACGGGCAAGCCACTCAGCATCAAGCTCATGCTCATGCTAATGGCCATGCCAACGGGCATGTGCAGCAGCAGCAATCGATTTGTGCTGGCTCACACACCGGCACTGCCAATGCTGCGAAAAAGAAGGATGGCCAAGGACATGGCGTGAATTTCCTAAGTAACATTGGAGGTCAGATGAAGAATATGACCAAGAGGAGGCACAAAAGGGCCGGCCGCGGCAACAAAGATGACAGTGGCTCAAGCAGCAGCAGCAGCAGCAGTGATGATGAGAGTGACAAGGAAACTTGTGGAAAAAACAAGGTCTAAACTTTGAACAGAAAAAAAAAGAAGAAACATCTATATAGTTTTTTATTTTTAATGATTCTACGATTGTTGCATTTTGACGTGCTAACGAAAGTTGATCTAATTGTGGATGCAGAAGTGAACCAGCAATCAAGAAAGCAGGTACCGAAACGGATCAAATTGAGGGGATTGGAGTGTATTGCTCCGGAAAAATTAAATAAGAGAATGAAGCTCAAGGATAATGCAATCTGATCCATGTTACTATAGTAGTAATATGATAATTATAAAATAGTTTGCTTGATGTATCTTCAAAATATGTTTCCTATCTGTACTTGTGTGGTTATAAATGTATGAATAAATAATATTTAACTATCTCTATCTAAACTCAAGCTTGCTTCATCATAACATTTTCCTATCTCCCAAAGGGCCTTAGCTAACTTGTTTTTTCTTTACTAATGCGTAAAATTATAACTGAATAACGCTATCACGGATACTATATGTTTGTTAAGAGACAAATTGATACGTTACTAAGTACTAGTACCTCGTTTGGATCGTTTTTTGAGTGTATTTTTTTTTAATTTTTTATTGAGAATATGAAAAGGTATGCTGGGATGGGACATATATTAATTAAAAATTTTGAAAAAACTAACCAAAAAACTACAAAACATATGTCTAGTAATGTTTCTTCTTCAGGATATCAGCTGTTTGTCCACCTTAGTTTGTTAAACCTATTAAGTTATGATTATCCTCCCTTTAACAACAAAAGGCAAAAAGGAAGGGAAAAAAATAATCCTGCTTTTTTTTTCAATCAATTCAAATTTCGAAAAAATTTACTCTCTCCGATTTTTATTATAAGACATTTTCATTTGTCCTAGATTTCGCATAATATATTTTTTCAATTGAAAAGAAAAAAGCCTTAAAAATACATCATATACTTGGTGAAACCTAAATGAAACCTAATATGTTTTTAAGGGTTTCTTTTTTCTAATCAAAACAACATATATACTAGGTGAAACTTAGGACAAATGAAAATAATTTATAATAAGGATCGGAGGAGTACTTTTTTTTATTGAATTAGCTTGATGATTGATAAACAACCCACTTAAAACTGAATTCATGGGAGTTATTATTAACATTATCTGTTCGAAACGAAATTTATTAATTTGTCTTGTCTAAAGATAGAATCTTAGGACACAAGGACAATGCATGCATGTACCCCTTAAGCTGCTTTGTTTTATTAGTATTATTTTTAATAATAAAAACTTCTCTTTTGTCATCATCAAATGAAATTTTTGTCCTCAAACAAACAAAACAAAAAAAAGAACATCGCCACGAATCAAAGAATTGCCTACAACGCGGCAACACACTGACTGCTACTGATTTTGAATTCAATAATTATTTACGCGTTAAAATTGATTGGTCCATTGTGGCCAGTATCGGTTTGTACGTTTTTTTCATGTCAATTTTAATTGTTAGTTACAAAAATTATTTGGGTTATAAAAATCATGGTCATTAGCATCGTTAATAGTCTAATTCTCTCTTTCTTCTCTCTCTCTCTCTCTCTTTTGTTTTTCTTAATGTATACATATAAGGATACCTTATAATTTTTTGAAACATTATTTCTTTTCACGTTAATAAGATTCGAATTTAAGACAGCTACTTAAAGGAAGCCAAACTTCTTACCACTTGACAATTACTCTCATCTTGATTCAGTTTTTGTTTAAGAATTAAGAGAATTCTTTTAGTCAATCAGCCGACTCCTTATAGTACTAGGTTCAGCTAAGGAACGAAGCAGCATTCTTTGATGGAGATTCCCTAATTGAGGCCTAAAGGCTATAAAATGGTTTTGCCGTTTGACAATTTTACACACTTCAACCACCCATATTTTAAGTTCTTTCTAGAATTTTTATTTTTTTTTAGAATTTTGCTTGTTATGTAATTTTCGTTCCGCATTAATCTTTGTTGGTAAAAATCGGGTAATAGCAGAAATTTTGCTCATTGTTCAATCCCAAAGAATACTGCATACGTCCCAAAATTATCATTTTATTTGTTGTACAATTTTAAATATAATTAACAAGATAATTTTTTCATTTATTTATTTATTATTTTTTTGGATTGAAGGAGTAAAACTTACCTTGTATAAGATTATTAGAGCGTTCTTGAAAATTTGCGTTCTTCAAAATTGCGGAACAAATATAACTAATAATGTCTTGGTATCCCCTCGAAAAACTTAATTATCATGTTCGGTTACGTTTATTACACTCTTTTTTTTTATTTTATTGTTTAAGCAATGTAATGTCATTTCTCAAAGAGAAAATAAATAAATAAATAAAATGAGAATCTTGATTTATCCCGATCGACCGAATCCATATAATAACTATTATAGCAAGATTTAGTCTTTTTGCATGGTCTCAACTTTTGTTCCTTAATCTACTTAAAGACATTATTATACTTAGATATCACAATTCCAAACCATACGTTAAGTGATCATTTAGATAGATGCATAAAACGTAAAATGCTACTCCCTCCATTTTGAAATATATGTCGTTTTAGGATTTGGTAAATTTTTTTAAATATATGTCGTTTTTACAAATCGAGGCATATTTGACCATTTTTTAACAATGTTACCCTTGCATTGGAAATGGAACAGTATTTATAATGAATTTCTATTAGTTTGTGATGAATTGTGTAGATAATAAATAAGGGTATTTTTGTATTTTAACTATATTAATTAATGTTTTCTTGGTTTTGATGATTTCTCTAGAAAGACATATAAAAAAATAGAGGGAGTATTATTAAATATGTGAATAATAAGTGATGAACAAATAAATATGTTACAGTTGATACATAATTAATTAACCTAGCGCATTTCCTAGAAGTTGCTTGAATTTGATAGTCCAAACTCCACAAGGACCTGTTGAAAACAAAATGTCATCTCGGACAAATAATCATAAATACGAAATTTAAACGTGGATTAATCACATGGACGAGCTACTCAAACTCGAAACCTCATTTGAGTTTTCAAGTCAAGAAAAAGTCTAGAGAGAAGTAGTTACATGTTCAATTCATCACTCTTAATTGTAAGTCAAAAATTTAAATTAATAGTATAATTTAAAATTAGCGAGAGTATTTGTAATTTCTAAGTATTGATTCATAGTAAGAGTATTTGTAATTGGTGAGCATTGATAGTGGTACAAATCTAACCTAAAAAAACACTAGGGAACTTGTACAATTATACCTGTTTATTTTATCCTACAATCAAATCTCAAACCATTTGAGAATGTGTCCAAACCGCTAACAAAATGTGATCTCAGACAAGCAATTAAGTATACCAAACTTGGATGTGGATTGATCACAAAGACCAGCTAATCAAAATCAAAAACCTCATTTGGGAACTCCCTTTAATGTGTAGCCCTCGTTTAGAGAGAAACAAATTGTTCTATTCAGAGTTTGTGATAAGTTCTAATTATTATTATTGTATTAGTAAGAAAAAAGAGTAAATAAGATTGTAGATAATATATACATTTGTGAGTCTAATAAAGTTGAAGATGTTTATTTTTGTTATCTTGATCAATTGATACATATCAAATCTCAACTCTCAACTCTCGAGCTATTAGTTGAGAGTGTTTATTGTGTTCAAAGTTTATTTGTTTCTTGTAAACTATATTTATGATTACATCATCATATTATATAATGCTAATACGTAATTACCAAGAAAAAGAAGAAGTAGCAACACTAATACTTAACGGTCTAAGCCTTAACAACACCCACGCGGAATTGAGAATGACGCAGGAAGATTCTCTACAAATTGTACTACTAATCAAAATCTCCCAAAATAGCCACCAAATTATTTCTCTATTCTCTGACTCGGTTTTAACTCAAATAATAATGAATCCCACGAATTTCTACGTCAAAAATTCAAAAAGTAATGATCAGAATAAAGCAAAGAAAGATAGTAGAAAGGGAAAAGAAAGAGAAAGAGAGAGGCCCCTCAATCTGATGAAAAATGGAGAGGTTTGAATTGGTCAGCAAGAACTAGAAGTACTAATATTACCACTCACCAGTCTCCACATCATTCTTTTGTTTTCTAAAATTTCTAAAATCTGGAATTGGAATTGGAATTGGAATTGGAATTTATCATGTGTTGGACCCAACAGCTCAAAGTCAAGCCCCAATCCCTCTTGAACTTCTTGTTATTGTGTAGTACCATGAGAACATTTTTTACTTTTTTAGTCAGATCTTGTCATTTATTTTTACTTAATTAGTTATGTCTTTTGGTCAAAAAATTGGTTGCTTTCAACTTTGCTTTGACTAAATCCAAGTGTGTGTTAGAGAGTAAGGAATGGGTAGTTCGAGTGGGTGAAGTGTTTATTGTGGATGGTTCAAGCAATCTTTTGTTGAATATATATCTTCCATTACCCCTTTATATCATTCCAAGTTGTGGAGGATTCGATCTCTAATTTTGCTTTTTATGTAGCTTATACAAAGCTATTAGAAGTATGATTCCTATATTTAGTCGAAAGGCGATGCACACTTTTGAGTCTAAGTTCATATGCGATCGATACCTTAAATGTATATCATGAAAATTACACGAATAAACATGTACTTCCATTTTGCTCCCGAGTTTGTCACTCCGGGATTACCTAGGGTGGTTTACCTCCCACTATAATTTGCAGGCTATTGCAGTGAGCGTGTGTTTACCCATTTTTGGTGGGGTTCCCGACGTTACCATAAAAAAAAAAAAAAAAAACACGTACTCCCTCTGTCTCAAAATTATTGTCGAGTTTGAGATTTCACTTTTAGTATAATTTGAACTAAAAATAAAAACCCAAACTGAACAATAATTATGAGACTGAGAAAGTACTATTTAACGAGTTTTTTTTTTCTTCTCTTTTTTAAAACACTCTAGCATTACTAAATTTCTAGAAGTCATGTTGATGGTTGGAAGGAGACAAGATTTTCTCTAAAACCCATTGCTTAAATGATTCAAACTTTCAAAATATTATGAATGACACACTTCTATGTTTTTTTACTTCCAACAAAGAGTTAAAAAAAGAAGAGAAAAGGTAAATCAAACAAGAAACCGTAGAAGAAAGGAACCTTACCTTACTGCATCAGCACACTGTATAAAATGAACCTTAATAAACGTGCGCAAAAAGGGATAAGAACTAAAAGAAACATCTCTTCTTAAGATTAGAAGTTTGAATTGGTCAGAATTTGGACAGTTTGGTGTTTTTTATTTTTCAATTTTTCTTTTTTCTTTGTCTGAAGTGTTCCCTCCACTTATCTCACAGTTCAGTGTTAGTGAAGAAGAGAAAGAGAGTAGATTTTACTTAAAACAAATTCTTAAATCCCAATTTGACCAAAGACCAAAAGAAAATCCACGCGCAAACTCTCAGTCAAACTTCAACTCTCCTCCTCATAGTGCACTGTTCAAGTCATTTTCCACAAATCCACATCCCCCTTCTGTTCCAAAATTTTGCATCATTTACTTCCAAAAGCCCTCTCTTTAAATTCATATCTTCCAAACTCCCTTCTTTCCTCAGCAATCAGCAGCTTCACAACTCATTCTCTTTCTCCAACTTTCCCAACTTCAGTTATCTCAAAAGCTTCCCAAACACAACAACACAACACACAAACTACCTTACCTTGAAAAAGGGTCCGGAAAATTTCAATCTTCAACCTGGCCACCTTCTTCATATCGAACTTTCTGAGTTTGGAAACTTCCATGCTTCTGGTTTCATCAATCACATTGTCCCTGAATTCGAAAACTTCCAAGCGCCGCGAGTGATCTGATCATCCAACTTCTGAGACATTTCTTATAACTGTGAAACTCGTACGGAAGAAATGGAGTACGGTTCGAACTGGGATTACTACACACTGATCAATGAGCTGACTCAAGGGATGGAGCAAGCGAAGCAGCTCAGGGTTCGCTTGAGCTCAGCTTCCACAGAGACTCAGGAGTTGCTCTTGCAGAGAATTTTGTCTTCTTATGAGAAAGCTCTGCTGATCCTCAAGTGGAATGGAACAGTAGGACAATCTGCAGTGAGTAAGCAGCAGCAACAACAACAACCACAAGCATCCGGTGCACCTGAATCGTCATCTGTTTCAGTCGATTGCAGCCCGAGAAATGAGAATCAGAAAGACTATCAAGATGTATCCAAGAAGAGGTGAGTTCTGCAGCATGATGAAATTCAAAACACTAAACCATAGTCTTGCAAGACAAAGGATTATCCTAACACTTCCTAACACTTATGTTTTCAATCCTGCAGAAAGACACAGCCCACCTGGACAGAACAAGTAAGAGTTAATCCTGAAAGTGGACTCGAAGGACCTTCTGATGATAATTACAGTTGGAGGAAGTATGGGCAGAAGGACATCTTGGGAGCAAAGTATCCCAGGTGAGGAGGGCCCCTTTTCCTTTACATAATTTCTGCATAGAAGTTTGTTTGATAGAGCACGATGACAATACGTGATCCATATATCAAACCCTGGTAGCCAGATAAAGACTTTTAGTTACTACAAAGGCAATAGAAATCACGACACTTTTACCCCCAAAAAAAAAGCATAAGAAAACAGACACTTTTAGGCAAAAAAATATTACTCTCAGCAGCACTTACATCAGCTTTTCTACTCTAAAGTCACTTTTGAGGGAATTTTTATGATTTCATTCTCAATTTCAGCCAAAATTGGTATCTAATGGTAAATTCTTTGGTGTATGCAGAAGTTATTACAGATGCACATATCGTCATCTTCGCAACTGTTGGGCAACAAAGCAAGTCCAAAGGTCTGATGATGACCCTACTGTATTTGAGATTACATATAGAGGGATACATGTATGCAACCCATCCATGAACAACAACAATTCAGTACCACAACCACAACAACAGCCACAACCACCATCATCACCAGAAAAGCAAGAAATGAAACACACCTATAATTACAATACTAATCAACAACAGCCCAATGAGATGTTAATGAACTTTCGGACGAATTTAAGAGTTAAAACAGGGGAGTCATCAGAAAGTAACGACACAAGGTCACCTTTCTCTTTTGCCTCAACATACCAGCAGATGGATGGTGAAAGTCAGATATTCCCTGTTTCCACCATCGTTGAAGACAGCATCTTGGGCGTTGGTTATTCGCCATCCTTCATTTCACCAGCCACATCAGGATCAAACTACTTCTCGCTATCACCCTACCAAATCATCAACAACCAAGGAACAAATCATACTGACTCTGATCTCACCGAGATCCTCTCTGCAACTGCATCTGCAACCAATTCGCCTATCGCAGGCTTGGATTTTTCATATGACTCTGTTGAGCTGGACCCTAACTTTAACTTCAGTGCATCAGGATTTTTCCAGTGAATTCAATTTAAGAAAGAGGCAGTAGGGGAATAGCTAGAAGAGTGCTTCTGAAGTATGCTGTTTAATCTACTGATCTTTTACCATTCCCGACCACAACGGGAATGTGCTTGTACAAATTTTGAGGATCAGTAATGATAATGAACTTGTTAACTATAATGACGTCTCCTAGAACGAATAATATATACTATTGAACCGCCTACATTATAAACTTAGAAGTGGCACCATTACTGGTAAAAGAATACTAGAATCAAACTGGTAGATACCAGAATAAAATGATTCCATATCTTAAGAATTCATTGATGAATAATATTGAGGTAATCAATTGATTGCACATAAAGATAATAGTCCTACAAAGAGGGAGAAAGCCGACTGTTACAGGACTCGACGAGCTTTAGTACTCATTCATCTTGCAATACACATTCTACTTTTGTTAGTTTACCCAACCTTTTACATTCATAAAACAAATTGTAACATTCACAAGTACTTTGGAAGATTAAAAATGCCAACTGAATGAAGTGTCCGCACATATTTATCCATTCATTTAAACCAGCAGTTCACAGAGCCATAACATAGATATAATAAAGCAGCACAGGAATGAACACTTCCAGCGGTTTCACCTCCTAAGATTTTGATTTTTGACAACAGCAACAACACGAGATTCACCTGTATGTCTTGACCAACTACGTTGATGATGTCTCTTTTTCTATATCAGAAGCAAGATCCGATGAGGTTTTTCCTATGTTCTCCAGTTTCCTAAGAGCCTCCCTTAGTCCCAACACAACAAATAGGTTCGATAAAGTTAATAGAGACTCTGCGCTACCATGCAGCCAATCCACATTGGATAAGGAGGTTCCATAATGCACCTTTGCTGCACATCAAATACACGAAAATTGGGACAATGTTCAGACTACTCAACTCTATATCATCAAAGTTTACACAAGTGAAGTTTGACGCAGGAAGAGCAGTCACCAACTTACCATAAATTCCAGCCGGGACTTGGCATAACCAAGGCAGGAAGACAAAAACAATGAAAATGGTTAGTCACTGCTGGAGTCAGAAAAGCCTGTGATCTTGTCTAATCAAATTTATCAATGAAAAATACATTTTACATTTTCCCAAGTAGACTAGGTACGCAAAAACTAATCAACGCATACTATCATAGTATAAAAAGTCTGATAAGTTAACTTTTCGTTTTACATCCTATTTTCAATTTCCAGAGCACACTGGGAAATTGACTTCCCAGAACCACTAGTGGATGTGTTTTCTCACTGCAAATTTTTAACTTTTCCAAATTCAACAGTGTACATCCTTAATGAAAGTAAAAACCAAACACAAAATTAAGGGCCGTAGCCCCTAGTGGCTTATCACTTGTGTATCAAGGGCCCTAATGTACAAAAAAATGAACCACATTCCAATTTGCAATTCATTAGTTTGTTGACAATGAATAAGCTAAATGGGAAACATCAGAATTCCCTTCATAATCACAGTCCAAGAATACAAGGCCTATCAAACATTCAATAAAATCTAAAAAAGGGGTCCGAAGCAAAGAAGAAAAGAAAAAGAGAAGGACTTACTGGTGGCGCCAACGAAGGCAAGCAGGAAGTAGAAACCAAAAAGAGTAAGCTTGGGGGCAGACTTGGACTTGGTGATGTAATACAGGAAACCAAGATACGGGAAAAGGGAGAAAGCGAAAAGCTGCGATGCAATGCTCTGTGAATCAACATTTACATTGGGTGCCCACGGATCCACTGGCAAAAAAGACCCGCGTACAACCACCGTTCTTGCTCTTCTTTGAGAAATACTCCATTTTTCACCACCGTAACCAAAACTTATTAGATTAGTATCACTACTGACCCGCTGCTTTGAATTATGAAATAAGGGAGAAGATGAACTCGGATGGCATTTGGGATTCCTCAAATTCCAAACGGGTTGTAAGGAATTTGCTGAGATCATTCTCATCCTCAGGTGTTTTACTGAATTCTTTTTTGTTTTTCTAGTCAAGGAGGTTCTGAATTTCGGCCACCATTGTTGTTTTTGAGGCTTATCTGGAGCTTATTTTGGGCTGGATGGGTGAACCTCAGTGATGTGGAAATGAGCCAAGTGGCCCAATTCAAGTTATGAGACTGATGAAAGTTCTAAAATAGTTTAATTAGGATGATGACTACTTGTTGTGAGAAATTTATCAATGAGAATCGAAAAAGATATGTTTGACGCGAATTCAAATTAGTAGAAACAGTGATTTCGGTATTAAATGACTAATATACGGAGAAAAAAAAAATAGGCCTAATGATCGGCTCAATTGGTCTGTTGGCGATTGGATTAGTTGATGATGAGTGGTGACCCAATGCTTAGTTGTTCCAATGAGGTTAATGGGTGTCACTTAAGAATCTATTCATCAGATAGTAGTTTCCATGAAATCAGATATTTAATACAGTATCCGCTCGGGCTTGTGATGTAAATTTTGGAAGGCTTGCGACATGTTTGATAAGATTTACGCCTATAAGGTGTTCGATGTTTGTTACACCAATGATATGATTGATGGTCGACATACTTGGATAACATCCTTTTTGCACCAAAAAAACATGTCACTGATTTTTCTGTGTGCGACACATAATAGAGAGAGTAGTATGCACTGCTGTGCATATAGTAAATTGCACATAATTAAAGGAATGATGTAAGAAATGCAATTAAAAAAAAGAAGATTGGCAATGAGGTTTTCAAAGTGATACCATGCTTGCTTTAGAGACACCATTGCCAAAACTAAACTGTAAACCTCATTCTAAAACCCTTGCTTCCTGAATCCTACTCCTTCTAACAAATGAATTATCAAACCAAAAAAAACAGAGTACACTAATCACCAAGAACAGAGAATTCAACAAAAAGAAAATTGGGGCCAAAACCAAACAAAGAGAGAAACAGAGAGCATCAATCATCAGTTCTTCACTGATCCACCAATACGTATGATATCATTAGCTCGATCAGCAATTCTCTTCTTCACCTCTTCCATCCGGGCATTCAATTTTTGCAGTTCATCCAAACCCATCTCATCAACCGGGATATCCCATAACGCCGTTTCTTCCTCCACCTTCTTCTCTTCCTCTTTCTTTTCCTGAGGAGGGGCTAAACGCAGAGCCAAACTCTTATCTTCCTCCAAATCGGTGGACTCCGAATCCTCCTCCGACTCCGGCTCCTCCTGCTGCTGATGGAGGACATCGGCCTTTGTTTCCGGCACCCCGGCGGCGGCCTCGGCTGCTTTGACGTCCAGATAACGTTGGACAGTCGCATCGAAAGTAGGGTTACCGAAAGCGAACAGATTCCCGGCTTTAGAAACAGCCATAACAGCAATCTGGCAATCGCATTTCTTGCACAACTCGTTGGCTTTCTTGAACAACCCTTGGCGCCGCTTCGTGAACGTAACTTGCCTTTTGTTGTTGTCATCGATTTTCTTGATTTCAACCCTTCTTCTCACCATCCTTTCTTAATTCAACCAAACAAACAACAATCAAAATTGGTCGATTAAAAACCAAAAGAACTAACCAGAGTTGAAAGTTTCCAACTTTCTCTGGTTTCTTGCTTTCCTACTACTTGCACGGCAGAAAGAAGAAAGGGTTAGTATGTCATATATAGGGAAATAAGACCGCAAAAAATTAGGGGAAGTAAGGTTGGATATGGATTGAAAAAGAAGGGCAATGCAAATTAAGAAAAAAAAATCTTTAGAATTTAATTTGGTGAGATTGCAAGGAATTGGGACACTTACTAAAAAATTTTCACGTGATTTTGTTCCTTTGATTAAATAAAAAAAAGAAAGAAAGTGAAAAGGCGTTATAGAATTCCAATTGGAAACCAATTCGATTTCTAGACTTTCACTTAACTTCTATTTATTCTAGAAAGACGATAGAATATTATATGAGTCATTGTGACCGTTTATAATTAGGGGTAATGATTTTATTTGGTGGAAAAAAAAAACACTTTCTATATTACTACTATTTTAAGTTTATCACCTCCAAGGTAAATGGTAATGATAAAACATAAAACAAGGATATTTCTAAATAATAATTGCTAATAATTTAATAAATTTTGGTAAGGAATGAATTTTACATCATCATCCAAATAAATCATTAGGAAAGCAGTAATTTGGGTCCTATTCGAATTACATCACCAGAATTAAAACACAAGATCCATTAACGGGTTACTCACCAAACTAAGTAATCCCATTTATAGATTATATTTCATGAGTCTGGTCTGTATGAATTAAATCTTTATATTTATCAAAAAATTTTAATTGCACAATTTATTTTCATCATAGTTCGTCCCTTGCAATCTTTGTTTACCTCGAAAAGAGGGTAAAAAAAAAACATAAAATAATGACGCAAAATTAAGTACTCCTGAACCATTAGGATATATAATGTACGGACTCCCTACTATGCGGACTGGACTCCCTACAAAAAATACTGTAGTAACAAAATTCATGTTTGTTAACTCTTTCTTTGGTATGGACTACTTTCTGTAGTGTACATCATTCTCATGATTGACTTTTTACATCAAAAGATTAGCAGAAGAAGAGTACTATCTAACACTAGCTCAATTCAAACTGGAGTTCAGATGAAATACACACTAAAAAAACAAGGAAAAGGCTGAAATATGTGCCATGAAATGAGCAAATTAGGTGGCGGGTTCAAATATAGCCTGTTCTTGCCAAGCCCCGTTTAGGTTTGCTTGCCACAACTTCACCACCCCATCACTTCCAGTTGTAGCCAATGTCATCCCGCTCATGTCCCATTCCATCTGCCAAACCTGCACAAGACCAAAATGTGCTGGTTGGAAGCTTTATCTTTCAAAGATTAACGGCAGCCAACTTTGTAGATATCGGTAAAAGGGTTGACGTAAAATCACATTAGGAATAAAAGAAGCCAAAGAAGATTACACATTAAGATCAACAAACTGCATACAAGCAACTCCATACTGAAATTTGTAAAACGATGATCCGGATTTGCCACCGAACAGCATCTAAAGATTACAAATATCGCATGAAAGTGTACAGACAGTGGATAAGGGAATGTCTGCCAACTAATACCTCGCCATTGTGACCAGAGAGGGAAGCAACCCTCTCCAAAGAAAGTCTTCCATCAGAGTCAGGGTTTGATCCAACTTGCCATATTGATATTCCCTTGCCAGTTGCCACTGCTATCACTTCATAGGGCCTGGAGAAGGAACAATGGGAATACGGTTCATTCACAATCACCAAAACTTCAGGTCATTTGTTGCATCGCACTGTTTACATTAAAATTCCATATTCCTGCCTCTCTGTGTTTATATTTACATATGATGAGAATGGAAAAGGGTAACCCTAAATGATTTAAATCTAAATCCCTCAATACAACATAGGAAAAATTGAAAAAGAAAAAACACACTTATAAATACATCTCAATCACACACTGTATAGAAACTTCTCAATAAATTCAGTCTCAAGAGAATAGCTTATAAAACTAAATGACTTAAACGTAAAGAATGAAACCTTCCAATATTTGGGGCCCAAGCAACTGATAGAACTCGGTCATCCTTGTCTTCCGGCAAAGCTAACTCCGCGACTGGTAGCCATCTTTGGTGATCCTCATCAAATTCCCAAACCTGAGGGTAAATTGAACACAACCACATCAGATGGTGAATCATTTGTTGTGATTTCAACCAAATATTTCCAGCAACAAAAACATAAGCAATCATGCAAATAACTGAACCATTGAAGTTGACACATAATTATCAGAAAAATTTAAATAAAAAAGCATCTGAAGCTCTGCAGATCAAAGACTTGTACGACCTGTTCTAATTACTATAAAAGCAAGCCGACTACCATAATACTTTGGGACCAATGGACCATAACTTTTCAAGGATTCTCAGGAGATTGAGCACAAGGAAGAAAGAAAGGATACCTTAGAGGAATTCAACTGAGGTACATCTGAATTAAAACCCAAAACAAAGCTCGATCGTTGGGATTCAACTCTTTGCGGAATCCAAGAGATGGTTGCAGACAAGCAGAAAGCTTGACCAATTTTGGATGCAGATTCAATTACATTTTCAAACTCAGCCTGCAAGAACAACACTGGATTCTTATCTCATGAATTCATTAAATATTATGTGCATGCAACATCATGCAATATGATACAGAATTGAGAATAACTATGTGAAAAGCACCTGAAGCTGCCAATCCTTCAAATCAAGAGGATCAAGAAGCTCAAAGATTTTTACTTGACCATCTGAATAAGCAGCAACCTGGAAGAAACAAAAGTCATGAGAGTGCCATAATCTACATGCAAACCACATAAGAGAACAAAGAATGATTCAACTGCCAATTACATTAATAGCAAAGCTAAAGCAATTCAAGCGAAAAAAAAGGGTAAGACTTGCAAACCGAGTTTTGTATTTTCTTGTATTTGAAACTCTCACAACCATTAATTAACTAGAGATAACAATAGATGTATGAACATTTGGGATAGAAAGGCATCAAATTATCGAATAAGATTAGATCCAAAAGGGACTGCAGTCCCATCAGCTAGGATAAGCTAGTGTGTACGAATGTACAGCATGTCCCTCGGAATTGAAGATACAAGAACATTAATAAAATTTAATGCAAATCAACAATTTCAAAGGCTTTGTATAGGAAGATATCATCAAAAAAATATCTCACTACAGAAGTTTCCCCTCATCCCTTCCAGATGAGCTTTATTAAAAGTAAAATCATCAGAAGAAACCTTCCACATTCTAATGCGAACAATTTAGATTAGACATTCATTTTTTGCGTTCCCCTGTTGATTGTTAATGAAGTGAAGTAGTTATAACGTCACAAAATTCAGTGAAGAGAGTAATTTTACCAATTTCAGACTGGTGGAAAAGACTCCAAATTGAATGTCTAGGACTGTGCTTGAGTTCCTTTTGAAGCTTTTGCACAGCTTCCACTGGATCAGATCACCATCTACAGATAATAAAAGAAAAGAACAATGACAATCTGACGACAACTCCAGCTTAACATCAAAGGATAGCCTTATTGTTATTAAGAAGCAACCCTCCAATTTGATAGCTGTAACAGGGTTTAAGTTGTGAAGAAAGAAACTAACATAGCTGTACACCGAGTACCTTCCACAACCTCCTCCCATAATGACAAACTTCCATCAGAACCAATGCAGGCAACAGCATCTCCAAACTCAGGAGGAACCCAGACCACCTTTAGAATGCTGGTTTCAAGGACCTAATTTGAACCACCATAGACAATACAGTTCAAAATCGGACTTTCAACCAAACCAAAAAACTTAAAAACAAGAGTTGTACGAGAAACTTAAACCACAAAAGATTCAATTTTCTATAAGCAGTAACTAAAGCCAATTTAACTGGTAGCGTAGTAGCTCTTTAGAATATCCATTGCCTCTTAAATTTGAATCCAATAGAAGATAAATTACTATTCTGACTCCCTTTCTTATTCGAATAAAACAATTGCCAGCCAAAATACCCGCCCATAAAACACCATAATCTACTCAAAAACATAGTGAATTTCCAACAAGCAAACAAAATGGCATAAACTAAAACTAATGGGCCCGAGTAATTTAGCAACGTACCTTAAATTTGGAAGCGCAGGAAAAGTTAGAAGAAGCAGGATCAGCAGAATCGTAAATGGCCAATGTCCCATCAGATGAACCGGCAGCTAATCGCTGCCCATTATAATTCCAAGCAGTGCAGCTGCTATTTATTTCCAGTGTCACTATTGCTTTCTCCATTCTTTTTCTCTCTGACTCGTATCTCTTCTGTTCCTTTTGATTTTAGATATAGGGACTTTTCATTTTCGGTGGAGTTGTCTGAAAATTCTTCAATTAATTCAAAAACCCTTTTTCAGATTCCTTTGTTTTATGTTTTTTTTTAGGGTTTAAGAATTATTAGCTCAGCTCATCACGTCATTCTCGATGAGATGAATTTTACGTTTTGGGCCATTTTGATTTGAGGCCCACGAATCTGTTTCCCTCTTTGGGCCTTAGACAACTCAAATGTGAGGGAACCCTCCAGCCTGTGTTTTTCAAAATTTTCCATTCTGGTGCCAGGTGAAAGCCTGTTAGGTTTAGGGATTATGGTGTATCGGTGTCGCATCTTTTTGCGGATGACTTGATTTTATTTGCTGAGCCCACTTTTGAACAAGTTGATATCATTAGAAGAACATTAGAAGAGTTTTGTTTGGCGTCAGGGCTGACAATAAGTCGAGAAAAGTCCGTTTTATATTTTTCCCTTAATGTAGCTCAGGATGAGGCTGACGCTTTGAGCAACCGCTTCGGCATTCAAAGAGTTAACAGCTTAGACAAGTATTTGGGAGCACCGATCATTCAGATAAGGGTCAAAAAGGAATTTTTCAAAGAATGGCTCACCAAAGCTCAACAAAGAGCAGTGCAGTGGAACCACCGAAAGATTTCGTTGGCTGGGAGATTTGTGTCAATTGGTATTGTTCTCTATTCCAGTGTATCTCATGCAGTCAACTATACTCCCGAAAGGCACATGTGCGGAGTTCGACAAGGTCAGTAGAGATTTTTTGTGGGGAAGCGGAGGAGAAGAAAATTAACTTGGTTAATTGGGATCTTGTTTGTCAACCGAAGAACAGGGGAGGCCTAGGCCTGAGGAAAATACGTGAGTTTAACTTAACGTTAATCCTCAAATTTGCCTGGGGGCTAATTTCAGATGAGAAGTTTTTTTTGGAAAAACATTTTGATAGCCAAATATGGTGTATCCGCAGATGATTCGGACATTTCACATAGCAACGCTTCCTATTTGTGGAGGCAGGTGTCTCGGCTTTGGGTTGAAGCAAAAAGAGGCATTAAGTGGTTAGTCAGTAATGGGGGGAATATACTTTTCTAGAAGGATATCTGATTGGATATTGAGAGACCCCTCATCAAGTTTGCTAATGGAGACATACCAGCATCAGAGCTCCAATTGAAGGGGGCGAATTTTGTGGATGGCAACGGAGGGTGGGACTGGAATAGGGTCACACCGGTATTGCCGTTGCATGTTGTTGACAAGATTAGAGCAGTACCTCCGCCTGTTCCGAATCTTGAAGATGATCGGCCCGTATGGGGGTTCACCAATTCGGGAAAGTTTTCAACTAGTTCAGCATACATATTTTTGAATCAGGAAAGGTGGGATGAGGAAAGAAAGTATTGGACGGTCATATGAAAGTGGAGAGGGATTGAACGAGTTAAAACCTTCTTATGGATGCTAGCGAAGGGAGTTATCTTGACTAATGCAGAGAGATTAAGGCGTCATTTGCAGACGATGATAGGTGCCATTTCTGCGGGGGAGAGGAAAGCTTGTTCTACGTGTTTAGGGAGTGCTTTCAGAGGAAGAAATTATGGCGAACCTTGTGCCACACACTTGGACCGGAGTTCTGGTATGCTAATTATATTAACTCTTGGATGTTTTCTAATTTGAGCTCTTCTTTCTCACAGGATTCAATTGAATGGCCGATATGGTTTGCGGTCGGCTGTTGGAAGTTTTGGAACACAAGGAATAAAGAAATTTTTGCGAGGGAAGTCGTCTCATAAAGATCTCTCAAACTCTCCACTGTAGCCCTGATTAAAGAGGTGGCAAGAACCAACCTAATTTTTGCTCAAAGGTTGGTTGACCAGAGAGTTTCGAATTCAGCCCAACTCTGGCAACCGCCACCAACTGATTGGGTTAAGGTGAATTCTGATGGGGCTAGTTCAGCTTCAAGCAAAGCAACAGCAGGTGGGGTCATCCGTAATATGGAAGGGGAATGGATTATTGGATTTGTAGTAAACGTAGGGAGCTGCAGGACCTTGGAGGCTGAATTCTGGGGGGCGTTCTTTGCGCTAGAAATAGCATGGGATTTAGGATTTTGTAAAATTCAATTAGAACTAGACAGTTTGGAGGCTGCAGAACTTTTGTCTTACCAGGAGGCGATCACGGTCCACAGTAATGTGTATTACAGAATCAGGAACTTGCTTCGTCTTAACTGGCTGGTTACCATTAGCCATATTCGTCAGCCGGCCAATAGAGTAGCTGATGAACTGGCCAAGATGGGCCTTTCGTGCCCAGTAGGGCGGCACATTTTGTCGATGCCTCCGTCGAAGATTGTAAATATCTTAGCTTCTGATAGTCTACCTAGTTCCCTATAATGTTAGGGACTTTTCTATTCTGGAAAAACTCCATATTTTTATTTCTGTCTTTTTCGGTGATAGAGCTCTGAAGCGAAGGAAAATGATGAGAACTCACTCTTTCTTAAGCTTATGAATTAATCGACGTTTTGATGTTACAAAATGTAGCCTTGTATTCTAATTGTAAATCTAGTTTTGAGAAATATTTCTGACTCAATCGCACCTTTTTCCACCTCTACAGTTTGTGTTAATGAATTTTGTTTACTTGATAATAGATCTTGCATTTTATCATTAAAAAAACAACTTATATAAAATTTGGACTGTTATTAGAGAGATGAAACAATACATCGCCTTATGGCTTTTTAGTTTAAAAAAAGTTAAATAAAGGAATTTGGACTTTGGACACATTATTTCTTTACAATTGGCTTTAGATAATGTAACCCAACTCATTTTATTTTGATTAAGTATACCTTCGACCCATTAAAAGAAAGAGGATTAGTTTGTACGTCAGGGAAAAAACAACTCTTGTAAAAAGTTTAGACAAAATAATTTTGTAAAGGAAAATGATATAGACACTGAAAATAAATAGTGAAATGGGATAGTGATTAATTTAACACGTATGTATCCATTTAACTGTCTTTTATTGTATATGTTGTTAGTTATAAATTTAATTTGGTGATTTTTTTTGTCTTTTCACAAGTCAGTATCTCGTTTCACCATATATTGTCACTATTTCTATCATTACTTTTCTATAAAATGATCCAAAAATAATTTTGGAGGACAGAATATACTTATATGATCTAAAATATATCGGTGACTGGAAAAGGCATGAGACTCTCGCTAATCTCCATCGCTGAGTTTTTATTGTCTATGTGAAAGGTTAAGTTTTGTCAATGGGATCCTCTTTATTTTGTATTTTATTTTGAACCGCCACTCTTCTAGCTTGAATTTTTCGTCCAGGCTCAGTAATTCTTTTTCTTTTTTTTTTTATTATTATTTTTTTTTTTGGTTTCCTTTTGGGATGCGCACTTCAAGTAATTAAATTACTTAAATCTTGAGTGAGCAGCACAAGAGGAATTCACTCATTTCTTCATTTTATGGGTTAATCGAGGTTTTTGATATTTTGCACAATATCTACTCCTGTATATTAATAGTATAACTAGCTTTGAGAAATATTTAAGACTCAATTCCACTTTTTTTTTTCTTTACCTCCACAATTCGTTTTAGTGCTTACTGGTTAATGAATTTCGTTTATTTTATAAAATAAATCTTGCATAGAATTATAAACAACTAATAAAATTAGTCCATTTAAAAAAAACTAATAAAACTAGAAATGTTAATCGAGAGATGAAACAATACATCGCCTTACGGCTTTTAATTAAAAATAATATCTTGTTGGCTTTAAATGAAATATAGACATTGCAGATGATTGTATATAAAGCCTCCTCTTTATAGTTGGCTTTTAGTGGTGTAATCCAACTCATTTAATATTAATGAAAATTAACCTTCCATCCATTAAAAAAAAAAAAAAAATCTTTTGTACACCAGGGGGAAAAAACCTCTTGCAGAAAGTTTAGCCAAGATAATTATGTAAAATAGTCCAATAATCACTTAGGTTCGCAGATTATGATTACATAATAATAAAATGCTAAAAGTTCTCTTCGGTGACTTGAAAAAGAAGGCATGAGACTGATTCCCTAATCTCCAATATTGGTGAAGTTTTATTGTCCGTCTATGTGAAAGCTTAAGTTTTGTCGCAGGGGAAACCAATCATCATCACCATCCTTATCCTTCAACTTTGTTTTGAACCCTGCTGCTGCTTCATCGTCATCTTCAAAGTAAGCTAATTGATTAGTGAACTTTGGGGTAATAACACAACTCAATCGACTTATTCTTCTGCTTTTATAATTTATACTCCAAATATTTATTTAGTTCAAATTATACTAAAAATGAACTAGTATTTTGCCCGTGTTTTATTGTTGAAAATCCAGATATGAAACTGGTCAATTTTGCAAAGCGTGAATCATCAATTTTCTTAAAATAATTGTAGGAGTCTATGACTGGGGGGGGGGGGTACATTGCGTTCCCGTCAATAATGCAATTTAAACTGTTTAATATTGAACATTGATGTGAAATACACCAAAAATTTGTAGCTACCTCTCTGCAACTGCAAGTCATGATGATATTGAAGAAGATCCGTCTTATTAATTCCCGCCTGTAGCAGAACTATTCATGCATACATACATAAAACAAAATGTTATTCTCAATTATGTTTAATACTCACCCGGAAACATTTTAATAAATCACTTTCTTGTTTTGTTGATAGAGGGAGTATTATAAAATAATGATGATATCTTGTGGAGTTCCCAAAGTCATGATTCATACCTAACCACAACTGTGTTTAGTCTTGAAATAATAAACTCTAATGCGTGAAGGTACATTAATTCATCCCAAATTATTGCGATTACAATTTGTATAACACGGGAAACTATTGCAAAGGTGAATCATGCACCCCATTTCTTAGCAACCTCATCTAGTGATAATGATGAAGATCCAACATCTTTCCTGAAAGCCCTTTCAGCTGCGATTTTCAGCTCTTTTATCTTACCTCGAACCTCATTTCCTTCTTCTCCTTCAATCAAACCTTTTGCAACTCTCGCAATTTGTTCTCTCTCAATGATTCCATTTTCACTATCAGGCTTAACCCTAACAGCAGCCTTTAAATCCTCAGTCAACAAAATTGCATTCATTTTCTGCTCTGCATAATGTGGCCATGCAATCAAAGGCACCCCATTAACAACACTCTCCAAAACCGAATTCCATCCACAATGACTTACAAACCCTCCCGTTGATTCATGGCTAAGGATTTCAATCTGAGGAGCCCATGATGGAATCACCAATCCCTTTGATTCCGTCCTCTCCAAAAACCCTAGAGGAAGAAAATCAAACGGATCTTTCGAGCTCTCGTTGGTGAAAAAGGCTGCATCTTTAGCGTTCTCAATTGGACTTCGGACCACCCATAAAAATCTTTGACCACTCATTTCCAAACCGAAGGCCAGTTCAGTAATTTGCTCTTGGGACAGAGTTCCTCCACTTCCAAACGAAATGTACAAAACTGATCTGGCCGGTTGCTTACTTAACCACGTTAAACAATCCGAAGACTGATCAATGTCGGAGGCTATTTCATCGGAACTGGTCTTAACCAATGGTCCGACCGCATAAACCCTCGACTCAAACCGTTTTTCTTCCTTGAGAGCATTTAGGGCTCCGTATTCCAACTCCATGAACGTATTAATCAAAATCCCGTCAGCCTGGCTGTATTTCTTGCTAAGCTCGAGAAGGGTTTTATAAGCATCATTCTTCCGATCTTGAATCCCATCCAAGAAGTCCTTCCCGGATAAAGGAACACACCCGGGTAGCTCAACCGGTCCGGATAAATCCCTAAACTCGCAATCGTGAGCTCGGTCGAGTTGGGGCATATGCAGGAGTAACGAAAGCGACATTGCGGTCGACGTGAAAAACATGTACGACAAAATACCTAATTCCTTAGCCAACTCGAAAGCGGTCGAACCGAATAGGTCAACCACCAGCGCCGATACCAGCCGACTACCGTTACCTGTGAACAACTCCGTCAACGCAGCACGGATTGCTGGGAGAGATCGAGAAACAGAGAGTCCGATGCGGGTTTCGACCCGGGTATTCTCCGGGAGGTCAGCGAAATCTGGTGGAGGAAGATAGACGGAGGTTATGGCGGCGGGTAAGGATTGAAGGAAAGATTGTTGGGCTTTGTTGGGTGATGGGCTTCCGTCGGAAGGAAGCAAGATGGTGACGGAGAAATGGTGGTGATCAACGAGGCGTTTGGCAAGCTCAATGAATGGGATGAGATGGCCCATTCCAGGAGATGGCAAGAAGGCTACATGGGGTTTAGAATTTGGTTGAGCTGGCGTTTCCATAATTTTGGAAATTTTGATCAAAAGAAATAATAATATTTGAGTAGAGAATCATTTCATGGCTACAATGCATAAATAGAAAATGTTTTGTATACGAGAATATTTATGAGATGTGATCTCACAACAATGTGGTAGTTGAGACAGTTTTTGATACTGTGCTCTATTTAACTTGACTATAACATGAACGGGACAAAATTATAAAGCTCTCTGTTCATCCACCAAAAAAAAAAAAAAAGTTTTATTGCCCTGAAAAATAATGTTATCACATATGACTATATATACCGTGCATTCAACTCAAACCCAATAACTGACGCGCGCCAATGAGTGAAGATGTTATGGAATTCATAAGTTTATCACAATTCATTGACTCTAATCATGCGAAACACGGATTTATCTTAGCTAGAGAAGGTATAAAACACCCTTCAGGAGAGTTACTTAAGATATAGAGACAGAGAGAGAGAACAATGCTTTAAAAACCCGCCAAACTAAATTGTAAAAGGTTGTCTCTTCATATTAAGCGTAACTTGGCACCTCATTGCAAATATGCTGATCAATGCTACTGTTAGTTATATACTCCTTCCAGTCTTTATTATAAAATATTTTGATTTGTTCTAAGTTTCATTTAGTATATTATTCGAATTGAAAATAAAATTTTTAAAATATTTTATAATATTTAAAAAAAATAAAAAAAAATGAAAAACATGTTTAAGGTTTTATTTTCAATTAGAAGAACATACTAACTAAAATTTAAAACAAGTTAAAATGTCTTATAATAGAGACAGAGGAGTATATCAAATGACATAGACATGAGCTGACCCTCTGCCTACCGCAAGAAACATGATGTTAAGCTGTTCACTGGCTATGTCCCTAATTATTGCTTACTACACCCATGTTTTTTCATCGGTCATATTAATTAGGTTGAATCTAACATGTTATTTAATTTGTATATCATTTTTAATTAGGACATTTAATTTGTATGATCAAAATTTCCACAACTATGTTATAGGACATTTTGATTTGTCATGAATTTTGTTAATTGTGTATTTCTAATTAAAAATAAAACTTTAAAAATAAAATTCTACATTTATTTATTCTCCCAATTATTATAAATTATTTTTAAGGTTTCATTTTCAATTGAAAAAGATGAAACATAGGAAAAATTAAAATATCTTATAATAAACACTGTAGGGAGTATAAATTTAAATACTATAATTTTTTGTTTCAGTTTCACTTTTATCTCTCCATATTTTTAATAACTTATATTAATGGCAACTAAATACTAAGTTTTTGTATAGTCCCAGTATTTTTAATTAGGGATAATTTAGGTAATATGTTTATATACAATAAATTTCAATTGGTTGTTGTTTACATTCATATGGAAACTCTAATGTTACAGATAAAAAAAATCATGGAAATAGTATTTTGAAAAATACAACAAATACTACAATTGTTTTAAAGGAAAATGATATGTGTAGTGAAAATATAAAATGAAAAAAAATAGTGACTAATATGTATCCCCTATTTGGTTGCCACTTTACCGTTGAAATTTTATCTTTCTCCCAAGATTTACACATTGCCCCTAATTATTATGTACACATCAATCACTATATATTTTCACTATATATCTACCATTGTCTCTATCATTGCTGTATTTTAAAATAAGAAAAATACAATCTATCTACTATCCTGTTCGTTGGAGCATTACACTTCCAATTTTCCTTGTTACCTATTCTGATCTTTTCCTAGTCCCACCAGACATCTAATTGTCTCTGATTTGGTGAGTTTTACCTTCATTTGAATTCTTCGTGCATTTTGGGATAAACTGTCAATCTCTACCTATAAACGATTGAGGATTTGAGGCAAAATTTCACCCTAGACAGATTAATGTTATATCCATGCTTGGATTACAATTTCATAAATAATTGCGAAAGTATATCGATAATTAATTGCTTATCCCTCCACCACTGCGTCAGCAAGGTCTCTTTTCTTCTTCTTCTTTTTTTTTTTTTTTTTTTTTTGTGCTTTCGGTAAGTAGGTGAGACATCGGTCTGTCGGCTTGAACACGGCAAGTTCATAGTTTCATACTCCCATTTCCCCTGCAGCCCGTTTATTCATACATAAGAAAAAAATTTTGCAGGAAAAAAAGAAGAATATCAAGACTACATTTTTTATGCGTTTGGAATTTGTACCATTATAAGTTTAATTTGGGTTCCCCCTTTTTTTTTCTACAATAATTGTTTTTGTTGGTTGAAACTTGACAATTAATTTTGAGACAAAAGAAAATGAAATATCATTCTCAACCTGTTTAAACCCTTTAACTTTTTTCCTTGATTAAAAAAATGACAAATTAGATGACTTAATCTCATAGTCTAAACCCTACTTAAAGAATGGATATCGTGATTATTCCAAACCATTTTTTTTTTGTTATTTAAGAACTTTCAAATGATTAATTTGGTTTTCAAATTTTTTGTTGCAGCCTAATGCAACAAGGGGGCATCGGGGTGCAGTTTGTATTTTCCTGGATGGAATCACAACCACTTCTTTCGAAAATGGCTGATGGGTAGGCATCGAGCATTTATTCTTTCCTATCACAAGATATACTTCACATCAGACATGTCCTTTTTCATTACTATGAACAATTTCATATGGTTTCAGGTTTTGTCTGACTTTGAATGAACCAAAATTGTAACTATTTTTTTGGCATTTTACTATTGGTACTGGGATATATCGTGTATGCTTTCTGAGGGCCAAGACTGATTAATTCGATCTGACGATAGAAGTAAATTATAAAACAAGGCTTCCGAGAGATCATTAGGTAGACTTAGCACATACAAATTAATTGACTCATATATTCTTAGTGTTTATGCCGCGTTAATTCGATTAATTAATTGAGTCATTATTTTATTATTACTTATCTCTGGTAGAATTTTTGGCATCACCAAATCACATCACTAAAGGAATGAGCAAATTAATGAACTATATTAATATGCAAAATACAGCGTCATGTACTAATTAAGAAGTTGTTTGGTTTTGCTTGGCATTTAGGCAAAGGAAGCAGGCACGTCCCTGAATTCATGGCAAGGTTTTAGATTCCTTTTTACAATTCTTTCTTAAATTATGGCACAATCAAATGAAATTGTAGCAATTGATAATTTTAGAGGAGCGGGAGGCAAACCAACCAACCAAAGTACGTACTTATCTTTCACCTTAATTTGATTACCATGGTCGATCTAGTTGACTAATTTGTATATCGTCATCCTATACGTACTAAGTTACTATTGACTGCAACTGGAAGTATCTTGATTTCGTTTCATTAAGGTAAGAAATTAATATATATGTAAGTCATTGTTCTCATTCTAAAAGGACATTGTTCATGCAAGATTCAAGCCGGCCGATATATAGTATATATATATATATAATAGAACTAAGGATTTCTCGTATTCTAATTGGTCCAAGAAAACAATTCATTTCATTAAACTGAAACGGTAGAACACAAAAAATGGTCTTTTTTATGGACGGAGTTAACATTTTTTTTTCCTTTTATATTCGTGTCATTTGTGACAAATTTTCCAACAAAAAAACTAATTGGGACAGAGCACGTATGACGAATAATTCTTCACGAAATACAGAATATATATATATATATTGTGATAAATAGCTTTTATGTGTAATCCATCTTCCATATCAACGTTAAAAAACTCTAAATCTCACCAGTAAATTATCATCAATTATTACTTATATAATGAACTGGAACTCTTCCATGTTGGTAACTTAAGAAATATATTTAAGTGCAAGATTAAGTTTGACCAGAATCCATGAAACGCAGAACGATAGATGCTTATAATCTAAAGAAGATATAGTATAGTATATTTCCATTAAAATCTGCTTATCTGGACATGCCAAGTTTGACCTTTAACCACTAGTAGTGAAAAATATATACTATATATGTGCCAGAATTCCAAGACATGTGTAAAACAGAATCTCCCCCAAAAAAAAAAAAACATAAACTAAAATCACCACCAGGCACGATCAACGCTGCAATCATACAGTGAGTGAATGATTATTCAATCAATATGGAATTTCTCCTCAATCAGCAAACCTTATTCACAAGCACAAACAAGAAAAGAAAAAAAAAAAAAAAGAAACAGAAAAAGACGAACAAGGAAATTAAGGGGAAAGAAGGAAAAAAAAAAAAAAACCTTAGTATATATAACTCCATACATATTTACTGCAATAAAAAAGCAATATTATTGTCGCTCCCAATCAAATACAAATTTTAACTAGAATATTAGGAGCGCCAATAAGATTGCTAATTCCTGTGCATCCTAATTAGTAGTAGTAGGAGTGGGTTTTTATCAAGCACAAGAAATACCTACAGGAGTGAAGATGAACCGATCGGAAGCCGTGCGTTTAACGAAGGACTTCAAATCCGGCGAGACACTATCGGACTCCGGTACCTCCGGGATAGTAGAAAGTACACCAGACTTCTCATACACAAAGTAGAACCCATCCTTGCTGCCGGGCTTCTCTTTCCCATTAAAAAACGTTGCTGTATCACCGTTCTGTTGTGGCTTAGGCTTGAAGACAGATCTTATGAGCCGGTGAATCGACCGCGATATCTTGGATGGCGACTTTTTCGACGTCGGTGGCAGCAGTACTTGTGGTGGCTGATGATGATGAGATTCCGGCGGTTTTTTGGGATCGTCGAGGAAATGAAGGCGGCGGTCGGATAAGTGAGGCATGGAAAGGCTGCGGGAGTGGATGGCGGAGTCGAGTTGCTTCTCGAATGATTTCAGCTCGAAGGAATCATAGAGAGAGCTGCCGCAGTCCCATATAAGGGAATTCTTGTCGTTTGATTTCGGCTCCGGCTCAACCGCTGCCGGCTTATTTGTAGCCTTCCTTTGAAGCCTTGGTTGTTTTGGCTTTTGTTGTTGATTTTCTTGTTGATGGACGTCGGCGGGTTTTTTCTCCATGGTTTTCTGGTGTTTCTATGGGAAGAAATGAGGAAAAATAAAGATGTGGTATTTCTATATTTATAATGGTGGTGGATTTTGGGAGAAATAGGATGGAGAGGACGTGTTTTGTCCGTAACGGTGGACCGTGGAGCTTATAGTTTTGTGGAACAAGCCTTTTTCGTATATATATATTTTTTTTCTCTTCCTTTTCCTTTCCCCCTTTTAGGACTTATTTATTATTACCTTCACCATCATATAATATATATTATTTCCTCGGTCTGAAAAATTATTATTTTGTTTAAATTTTAATTTTTTTAAAAAAATTGTACTCTCTCCATTCCAAAATAAGTGTCGTTTTAGCAAAATGGAGAAATTCCAAAATAAGTGTCGTTCTCACATGTCAATGCACTTTTTGTTAAAAGTCTCCAAAATTACCCTCAAAAGAGTTGATGCTATTGGTGGACAATTTTATAATGGGGTTGGTTGAGGATATTCAAGTAATTTTATTATCCCATTTAAGAGTTTCTTAAACTATGTGCAAAGTGTAGGATGACACTTATTTTGGAATAGAGGGAGTACTATAAATAGAAACCACTAAACTGAATAATAATTTGGGACAGAGCAAATATAAGATGATGATAATAATATGGAGAATTTTGTGAATTGGGGTTACGTACGGCAGAGTAATGAATACAGTTTTGTGAGAATTCGAACTTTTAATATATGGATTTTTCATTTAGAGATCTCTTTTTTCGTTACAGTCCCGCGGATTCATTCATGGCGAGACATGGAGCATGGAGAATTAATGAAACTTGTAAAGATTCAAAACCAATCTCTCAAACCTAGAGATTCATGGACCACACTCTTTGATCCCTTCTTCCTTAGTCTTGTTGTAATCTGATTCCTGAGGATTAGTAATGTAAGTGTATAAAGAAACTCTGCAAACTTTCCGTGTACAATTAATAGGGTGGTTGGTTTGGTTGGCCACAATCACTTTTACGTTGTTATTTTAATCCACACATATCACCAGTTGAATTTATTATTACACGTCTATATATGTACCGTGTAACACTTACCACAACTCAATCCGGTCTTAAAACATTTTAATGTTTCATATTTAGGATGCAACTATTAATGTTAGATTCATCTAGAGTGTTAGTTATTTATCTTCTTTTCTTCCTTTCTTTTTTTTTTTTTTTTGTTTAATTACTTGGGGTTGGGGTTCTTATAAAGATCAAAACGCATACTAGCTAGATCGTCACTTTGGAATCCATCGGTTATATAGGTGGCCACAATTGATTTGAATCATCATGCATGTCAAACAGTTTTAAGAAAAGGAAATGGTGCCGGTAAACATTGTCAAATTCTATGGTCTAATTCAACATTGCATTCCACTAGAACTAGTAAATTTTAGTTGGGATGTGAGATTCTACTTCTACCAATGTAGACTTTAGAGTTTATTTTATGCTTACAGCATTTTGACTAGACATTAGTATATATTTCTCCTTATTTCGTTCTAATTAATATGGTATGGTCTACACCTATGATCCAGAAATGTCATTTTCTTCCCACGAACCCAAAGCACATAAAACTCGAGGCTTTAAATCAGATTCAATTAATGCCAAAAAAAAAAAAAAAAAAAGAGAGAAGACGGGGGGTTGTCATTTCTGTAGTTCTGGCCTTCTGGCTGGCGGGTTAGCCAGATTTTGTGGATCAAATTGGATTTTCTGCAAAGTTTTAATTGCAACCATTGATTTGTCGGTACCTAGTTTTTGCTTATTTAAATAGTTATTTAATAGTTATTTTGTTTTGTGTTTGAGGTTTGACGTCAATGTCCAGTTTGTCGTGTTTAATGGCAATTGGACACGACACAATCATCAACGATTAGCCCTTAATCAAGATTAGGAGTAATAATTTGAGGATACTACTAAAATATCAAACGTGGGGAACAAGTGCTTTATAAAAAAAGGCATTTCTGACACATACAATCCACCAAATTAAAGAAAATTATATCTTCCAAATCTTAAATTAGCATATATGGGTTCTTTCCCTCCATTCCTTGAAATTTTTGGTAATGGGTTTCTAATTCAGAATGGAAATTTTAGGTGAATCAAAGAGTTACTCAGATGTCAACCCTTATAAGAGCTAGATTATGTAATTACAATTGCTAGATTCAACAGTGAAGGACTAATTAAATTACGGGAGAAAAAAAAAATCGAAGAATGAAGAAAATAGAAATTATCCATCTGTGATTGTTTTCGGTGTGTAGCTGCCTTCTCTGCTAATTCCACAATAGAACCCTAAACCACCGAAAATATCGATCTTGATATGTTTTATGTTTTTTTGATTATGTTGAACGCTTGTCATATCGATTTGGTAGGTAAATGTGGAATCATTTTCTTTTTTTTTTTTTTTTTGGGGTCCTTCCATAATACGTAATTTTGTCCCTATTTTAAATATAGTCGAATCATCATTTTTTTAATTATATCATGCATTGAAAATGGTGGCCCTCTCCTTTAATTAATCTCTAAGTCCACACTACAACCTTAGTTCTTAGTTCTTATGAACTCAGCCTTGACATTAGTCCTTTTGTGTGGAATGCCAGGTGCTCTTTTTTGGTACACTTTGGTATTGTTTTTCCACCAGCATAAGATTAGTGGTCAAAGATATTAAGCGAAGTAAGAAAACTATTTTCTATGTCCCAAAATTATTATCTTCTTATTTTAGGGTCGCAAAGTAAAAAATTATTTCTTATGTCCCGATTATTATCCTATTATTTTGAGGTCGGAGAATAATTAATTATAAATCATCTTCTCACTTTCCACAATTTATTTATTTTTTCTTAGTGATATGGTTTGAAAATTGACCGAATTATCCCCATTTTTAATCTCATAGTCCTCGATTCGCATTGTAACCAACCATCAATCGTTTGCTAACTCATCACTAATGAGCTCAGAGCTTAGAATTTACGTATTTCTGTGGAATGGCAAATTGCCAAGTGCTTTTACATATTAGGATGCCACTTTCAACCAGAACACAATTTGTTTTTCTTTTAAAAAAAAATCATACAAATTAAATAACGATGAATCAATTCTAAAACATTTATCTTTTCTTTTCTTTTCTTTTTTTTGGTTTATTTATAAAGCGATCGTGGACTAATTGAAACTCTCAGTCCCATTTGTGGCTCACCGGCCAAACACTGCTGTAATGGATTATTTTTTCCACAAAGCATTTGTCCGGAAATCATCGAATTGGTATGGTCTCTTTAAAGCCAAAATGAAATCTATTTTCAGGAGCAAATTAATTACTAACAACTATTCTCCCCAAGTTAATTAGCGTCAACCAAAAGCTTCTATGATTGTAAAATAAAGTTGTCACACCAAAGAAATAAGGTGAACATCCTTGTATTACTCGATTAAAATGGAGATACTTTCTCTGGAAATTTCACTTTTAATACAAATTGAACTAGAAATGAAAATCCAAACTAAACAATAATTATAGGACGGAGGGAGTAGTTACGAAGAAAAAACAACACTACGCAATCAGAATATGTTAGATTGTTGGCTACCTGCTCAAAGGTAATTAACGTAGTTGGGTAGGCATTCACAAACAAATAATTAAACTAGCTCAAAGTAGAGTAGTGATACGTAAAGGAAAATAGTAACAAGAACAATTTACAAAAAATGATGTGTCAAACATTTAAATTAGGCCTTAACTTTAAATGCTTAAATTCCGTATGAAAAATTTTTAAAATGGATGGATGAGATCATTTCCTTATTATTTTTCCTTGTAATTTTGTCTTGTACCAATCATTATCCCTCAAAGTATACAGTAGGTTCCTTTTTTCTTTTATTATTTTTAAAATGGATGGATGAGATCATTTCCTTATTATTTTTCCTTGTAATTTTTTCTTGTACCAATCATTATCCCTCAAAGTATACAGTAGGTTCCTTTTTTCTTTTTCTTTTTTTCTTTTTTTTGTTAGTCGACAAACTTTATACTTTCTCTATTTGTTTCTTAATGTGGGATGCAATAGAGAATACGTATTACTCTTTCTAATTATCTATTTAAGAGAGATAATCCTAATCCTTTTCCATACATATATTTGACAAGCATAATAAATAGGTGGAGTGTGGGAAATCCTGCTCGAGAGGAATTAAGCATTTTTTTGACGGTATGCACTGTCAAAAATTCCAAAAAAGCCAAACGATGCAAATTCTGAAGTCTGTAAATGGAAGAAACTTTGCCTCGTCCTTTTAAACATTTTACATTCCTTATTAGGAACAAGAAGTTTAATTATTTTTATTTATCAGTTTAAAAAATCACAATGCAAACAATTATTGCATGTCGTATACTATATTTTTCTATTATATCACAGGTTAAGTGGTCTTTTTTGCATAAAGATTTTTTACATTTTAAATTCCCAAAAAAGTCCAACTAATAGCATGTTTGCTAATTAAGCCTCTTACGCGCGGCGGTTAAAACATCTAGTTTATATTATTTCTATTCCATAAAATAGATTATTTTATAAGAGAATGGGAGTGTTTAGTATCTCTTTTGTTAACTTCTACTATTGTGCAGAGAAAAAATAAAGGAAGTCCAAAATAAGTAGCTAGAACAAGCTGGTAATGAGCTCCGAACGCCTTAATTAAATTGGCGCAAATCTCTAAACACGGTCAACTATAAAATAAAATGACTCCATATATATTGGGGAGCAGCGCTGGTGGATTAAGAAAGCTTCTAACAGACTATAATACAATTACAATATTATATAAAATAGTAATTAGCAGTTGCTAATGAACAGCTAATGAAATAAACTTTAATTAATATTACTAAATATACTATACGCGTTACAGTATTAAAAAAGTAAAACTTGCAGTCTGCAACTGAGCAAAGATGATCTGGATTTTTGTTCCCCGCAATCAATATATAAAATATGCTAAAATTAAAATAAAAACAAAAAAAAAAATACCACACACTCACACACTGAAAGAGACTCAGCCCATGCTTTCCTCGCTATTTCCATAGACCATAATCATCAATCAATTTCTGCTCTCTATTTTGTACCGAGTTCGTTTGACCCCCCAAAAAGATCAAATAAAATATTGGGTGTCAAATTATGATGTGATGCTGATGGTTTCAGA